AGACTTACAATGGAGTTATATCCCAACAAACCCATCTAATTTGAAAATTCATTTAATACACTTAACCTACCAACCATCGTAGCTGAGATTAAAAACATTTCAGAACAATTATATTAGCCTACAGTTGGGCAAAATTATCTAACACAAAGCATATTTTATAATAAAGTGTTGAATATTTCATATAATGTATTGAGTAAATGATCATATATCATAATATGCATATGGCTTTTGCACCATTGTAGTGTCAAAAAATCAGAAGAGCTAACATAAGTTGGAACTGTCTGCATATAACAGGGAAGATTAAATAACTCTTTAGTAAAGTTTAAAAAAGAAGTTTGCAATGTATCTTCACCTAGGATGGAGGTCTGAAAATCTGGTGTAGAATTAATTCCTTTCCTTTTCTGCTTAGGAACAAACAGAAAAAGGTTATTATAAAGTATACAAGCTGCTGCATTTTAAAATTAAAAAACAACATCAGGGGAAGAGACCTGAGATAAATTTTTCCAGATGCTGTTTGTCATTCACATAGCATAAAATAATTCTTTCAGTATCAGGCATGGATTAACTCGGTATCATTTTCAACCTAGGAGAGATGACCTGCATACCAAGATTTCAATTCATTGAGTCATAATGCAAATCAGAGAGGGTAGAACATTATTACGGCATGCTATGTGAACAGGCATTGCTTTAGCAAACCTAGGGAGAAATATAAATCATACCACTTCTTATACTTACAGCTCTGGTGTAAAAGGCAGTCACCTTGCTCATGTGTTGAAATCAATGATATTTGCAATAAAAAAAAATTATTTAATCAGATTGTTGACAGCCTAATAAGCTTTTACCAAATAGTCCTTTTCTTTTCAAGTTTTAGATAATACGGCTTTTGGAATTTTCCCATTAAAGTTTCTAAAGAAAGAGAATAAATGAATTTCAATGTTTATAATAACTAATGTTTAAGTAACATTTATTCTGCCATGATATATAGTAATTGTCTTGCCTAAAAAAGCTCATTTAGCCAGGTGTGGTGGCTCACACCTGTAATCCCAACACTTTGGGAGGCCAAGGCAGGAGGATCGCTTGAGGCTGAGAGTTCCAGACCAACCTGGGTAACATAGTGAGAACCTGCCTCTACAAAAAAAAAAAAAAAAATGAAAACTAGCTGGGTGTGGTGGCACACACCTGCAGTCCCAGCTACCTGGGAAGCTGAAGTGGGAGGGTGGCTTGAGCCTGGGAGGTGGCGGCTACAGTGAGCCATGAATGTGCCACTGCACTCCAGCCTGTGTGACAGAGAGAGATCCTTTCTACATAAACAAATAAATAGAACAGAAAACAGCTCAGAAAACAAAGGGACATGAGCAACAGACTGAGTAGAAAAGCCAGTGATGTAGAAGGGAAACAAAAACAGTACAGTGTTCCAGGAACCAAGGAAGAGTGCTTCAAAGAGGAGCTGTATCAAACTGTTAGGTCAAAGTGATACTGGTGATCAGCTTGAATTTACAGAGGTCACTGATAACCTTAACAGAAGCATTTTTAGTGGAGTGGTAAGGATAAAATCTGACCAGATTTGGGTAAAAAACTTGAAAGAAGGCCGGGCGTGGTGGCTCATGCCTATAATCCCAGCACTTTGGGAGGCCGAGTCGGGTGGATCACGAGGTCAAGAGATTGAGACCATCCTGGTCAACAAGGTGCAACCTCGTCTCTACTAAAAATACAAAAATTAGCTGGGCATGATGGTGCGTGCCTGTAGTCCCAGCTACTCGGGAGGCTGAGGCAGGATAATTGCTTGAACCCAGGAGGCGGAGGTTGCGGTGAGCCGAGATCGTGCCATTGCACTCCAGTCTGGGCAACAACAACAAAACTCCGTCTCAAAAA